TGTGCTGTAGATCGGAGACGTCCCTTCCGAAGTACAGAGACCGCGAAAACGAGTTTCGTACCACTCGACCGTCGATGCGACCGTAGTTTTGGCTGCCCGACGAGCATTTAAGCCTTCTCGCCGGAATCCCAGAAATCGGTAAAGCGCACAATCGCGGCGTTTTTAGAGAGGACTGGCGCTATGGGCCAGGTCGCCGTTGGTGCTGAAACCACCATGAAAGCTTGAGAGAATCTGCTTGTGACCTCGCCGCCCAACAGGCAAAAGATCGCCGAAACCGGCCTTGCCGGGCACATTCCACAAAGGGCATTTCGAGCGCCGTGCACGCGCCACTTTGAAAGAAGCTGCCGCTAGAAACTTTTTATGGCGCCCTGGGAAAACGTAACAGGACCAGAGCACAGGCCCTCGGCGTCCACGATGGAGCGTCCACACCGTATATCGTCGTGTACGGCGGCATTGATGCCGTTTTGTAAGGGGCGTTCCGCACACAAAACAGGCCATCAGTTGGGGATCCTCAGCCGACAGAGAGCTTTCTACGCAAGCAGCTGTTTCGTGGCTAGTCTCGAGACCCCAAAAGACCTGTTAGCCACAGCGGATCCTCTCACTGGTTAAATCTCGACCATTTTGTACGGTGTACAGTCGTGTGAAATCGTGTTAAAACTATGTAAAAGTCGGGTATTTTGGGGCACATTTTCCACCATTGGTAAAATCTTGTAGTTTTCAGCCCTGTGTAGTACACAAAAATGGCCCACCTTACGGCCATGGTCAGCGCGGTGAAGAGCACGCTTTTACGCGATTTCAACCGTGTACCAGCGGCAGCCGTCTATTCTGTGATCAGTAAACGATTAGTACACGATGCTTACATGATTTTCACAGCATTTTTACATGCAAAACACGGTACACAATTTTCGTGACTGTGCAATTTGGCTCATTTTCTGCCAGTGTATGCATGTCCTTGCGTCATCGTGGACGGTGGCAAGGAATTCCGCAAATCACTGATGGTGAGATGCGCAGCTATGCGCCACAACTACCGGCGGCCCACAGCAATGGGTGCCGATCGTTGCGCCACACCCGAGCGGGGATGGCCGCTCTACTCTTTTGGTCCAGAGGAAGGCGTCCCAGTCGTGAGGGGCCTCAAGGAAGGCTTCCCGGGAAGCTTCCCGGAACCTGTACCCGAGTTTTTGAGGGCGGGGGATGCACTGCGAGGGGTTCAAAATTTACTCTTGAGTAACACTGACTCAATGTACTGCCGAGCGCCTTGCGCTTGTGCGTTCTCTGTGATCTTTTGGCAGCAATGAGTAAACGTATATTAAGCGCTCTGGTTGTAGTTTAAACGAAAACGAACAAGTACTTGATACAAATACAACATCGCAGAAAATTTTTCCTTTACTTCCGGACAGAACAAGCAACTAATAGTGATTCTCCAGAGACGTTCCACAGCTCGATCCCTGCGGGATGCATCAAGGGTATCTGTCTTTTTGCGCAAGGCGGGCATTGCCATTTCTGACGACGGCGACATCGCTACCTTCTTGTCGGACGAGAATATGCGCCTGCAGTGGGCACAGGCAGGCCTGCCCCAGAACAGCCGCTCCGTCGAGAATGCCGCCATATTGCACAAATCCAGCCAGTGGGCAATCGTCGTGGACCCGCAGGACCAGGCCGGTCCCTGGCTGGAGAATATATACAAAACGCAAGAGGTGGGCCTAAAGGAACGGCGGCGATCCCGCAGTGCATTAAACCGCCCAAAAGCAGCTTCGCAAAATGAGAGCATGCCGTGGAGCTATAGGCAGGGGGTGGCTTTGGAGGCTTGGGGTGGGTGGGGAAGTGCGGTTTACTGATCTTTTGGTATTGAGAATTAGACTAAGATTCAAATCATTTGAAAGAGGTTTAGTGCTCTCAACACCTTTACGATTCGTCGATGCCGAATTCAATCAAATGTTCAGATGCTCAGGGTTTCGGAATGAATTCAAGCATATCTATGTGGAAATTTCTACATCCCCTGATGATGGCGCGAGAAACGGAACAATGCTTTGGACATTTTACCAAATTGTGCATGCGCATCTCCGAGTGTTTGGCAAACATCTGGGATTTCATGCTGACTGCACTATCGCTCACCGCCAGAAACCACGTTCGCGATGCGCATCGAGATGCCGTTGCCGCGCTAACCAGCCGCATCACATGACTGCGGCGGCATCAAATTGACTTCCATGGCGCCCAGCGGCGCCAATCAGCATCAGAATTGGCAGCTCCAGGATGGCGTCTTCTACTGATGGCTGTTGCTCACAAGATGGCTCTACACATTGCGTCGTTGTCAACGATAGAATGTAGGTTTTTAACCGGCGCCGGTTGATTGCACACCACCAGGCGAGGCTCGTCGTCATTCGGAGCGACCACGCTCAATCATTGCCCCTTGTGATCGAGGCCATGGAGAACGGAGCAACCGTTTTTCTGGAAAACGTCCCGGACGAGCCCTCGGCGCTCGTTTGGCAGCTGATGGCGCAGGACATAAGCGAGGGCGGGGACGAGGACGGCTGGCAGATGACCGTGCGGCTCGGGAGCTCCAGGCACAAGTGCCACCCACGATTCAGGCTGCTGATGTCGACGATGTCAAGATCCTCGGAGTGGTTGTGGCGCTGCAAGGGACGTTTCGTCATCGTCGATTTCGGCGTCACCGAAGAGCAGCTCGTGCACAAACTAGTAAGATGGAGAGGGGGAAGGGGGCGAGGGGGCGGGGTTGAGCAAGGTCCAGGGGAATATTGGGATACTTCATGGAACATTTTGCATCTGAAGGAAACTCATTTCGCGAGCCGATCATTTATCGCCACGCTGCAGCAACCAGTCTGGCTGGAAATGAGACGCATGAATTTATGCTGACGGTATTATCATAATTGGCAGCTAAGTTCTGGAAGAAATTACCAAGCCTGGGGTCCAAGAAAAGCTGAGCAATCTGATTTTTCTAAGTGGAGGATGCATGTAGACTGTGTCAGGGGGGCCTGATTTGTCCAGTATACAACGCGGAATTGTTCTTCTGGAGAACTTCGTATGGTAATTTTCATTGCCGTATGTTTTTTCTATGGCTGCAGCAGTAGTACCGTGCAACTCAGAGCATGAATATTACATTAACGTTTGATATCACGTAAAAGCACATTCACCGAAACATAGAAGTATTTTGCTGCACCTGCAATGATTGAAAGTTTGTCATTAACTGACTTTCTCCTGCAAAACAAACTCGTCATTCGTATCATATGGACCTATGCACACAATCATGTGGACCATATGCACTTGCACATTTTAAAGCAATAGCGAATAAACAAAAAGACAACGGACAAATAAATATATAAGTAGACAAACGAAAATTGAAATCGATCAATGGGCGAAAAGCTTTGAAAAACTTGTCGTTTCCAGTTACAGTCGGGGTCCCTACGTGGGCAGCCAGGGTAACCCCCTGCACGGGCGGCTTGGGTATCCACTACACAGGCGGCCATGGTGCCACCTACACCGGCGGTCAGGGTACCTATAAATTTATTCACTAATTAAGGCACATGTGAATTTATGTATACTAGCAGCCAATGTACCCCCTACAATGTAGATTAGGCGCCCTTTACACGGGCGACCACGGTACCCTTTACACCGGCTGCTTAGTGCAAGCTCCCTTAACACAATAGTCCCCCCCTTTGGTCATGTCACGGGGGTGAGTGGGTGGGTGGGCGCGCGTGTGTGTGTGTGTGTGTGTGTGTGTGTGGGTGTGGGTGGGTGGGGTGGGGGGGGGGGGGGGGGGTGGAATTCAGAAAATCGTCATGACATCAGAATGTTTATTTGATAGTTTGCTTTTGTTCTAAAGTCAAGATTCATCTTAATGACTGATTCAAATGGCGAATACGCTAAATGCGTCTGGGCGCGGTACCTCGAGCAGACTCGTGAATGCGCTTGAAGCTAATGATAAACATATAGGAAGCACCGTGTGTTTTGTGTGGACTCAGACTGGCCACCAAACAGTACTTGGGGCTCTCACAAATCTGCATGAAAAGAACGGATTGGCTTCTTGAGAGAATCAGTAAGAGCTTCTGGTGGATCTAATGGGAGACGTGTAAGAAAATACATTCACGGAAAAGTATTTGCCGGTTCTGCTACTTTTGAAATCGCTGTTGAAGCTTAACCGGCGAATAGATTCAGTATTCAACAGTCTCTATTTGTATCTATGACTATACCTATATGCGCAGTTGGGTCAAGCTACCACCAAAGGATAATAAGCCACAGAGGTGGGCGCATGAAAACCAAAAACAATGGCTAAGCACAAGAAGGTCCAGAAGAAAAAAGAAAGTTACAACTTTCTCCTCCAGGAGTCCATAGCGGTTACGAGCGAAATCCCGGAGGCAGAGCAGGAGCACAAGGTGCTGATGCGAAACAGGGTCAGCAATCTCAACAAGCTGAAAGACGCCGAGAACGGAATGCTCGATACCATAAATTCCATCGACGCTGCCGGTTTGCTGAGTCGGGACGAGATGTACGTGACGTTCGCGGACTATCAGAGGGCAGCGAAAGACGTTCAGGCGAAGCTGCGCTCAATCGGCAACAATCAGAAACGAGTGAATCAAACTCGGAAGGTGTACAGGGACAAGATGGCACGCAAGGTGATTTGGTGGCATTTGAACGCCATGGTCTGTAGTATTGAAATACCATGGCCTGAAATATTACAGACCATGCGTTGTCAACCACGCTGCAACATACTCGGGCCTGCAATTGCTTACACATATTGATTGCAACTACAACTCTTCGGGAGAAGCAGCTGAAAGCATTAAATGGCAAAACGTCACCACCAAATTATCTCAAAATATGGCGTTGGCGGCCTACGGAAATGTGTTGAGATATGATTAAAGGATGGGCAGCCCACTGAGCATGAAAAGCTAAAATTTGCAGCAAAAGAATACAAGGCATTTCAACAGCCGCGGTTGACAGCCAGCCATTCAGCAGCCATTTTTAAAAGACAATCTGTTCTATTACAGGCAGCTCCGCTATTTTTCGCCATGGAAGGACTGTCCGACCTGCACCCCTCGTATCATTTCTCGTTGAAGTGGTTCCTATCTGTGTACGCGGAGACCCTCAAGAGCTGCGCAAAGTCTTCGGCAGTGAATGAGCGCGCTTCGGTGGTGGAGAGGCACTTTTATGGGGCCGTGTACAAACGGGCCTGCAGATCGTTGTTCGAGGAGGACCGGCTCGCCTTTTCTGTCATGCTGACGGTGAGTTCGATGCATCAGGACCCATCGGTTGGAACCACCGATTATTGGGATGGCGTAGGCAACTCCTCGTTCATGTCTAGCCATTGGTGTAAGTTGTGTGTCTCGATGCTTACACCAAGAGGCAGCATTGCGCAAGTGATGTTTTGATAATTGATAGAAGTTCGCCGGGAGAGATGCACACAATGTGGTATGCACAATGGGATGCGCTAATTTGGGTCTTTCTTTGTCGATTAGGGGCGCATAAAATGCACTATTCCTGAATTGGGCCGTTGGCTTTCAAACAGTCGAACAGGTTTTTGCACCTGACCGATGATGTAAACGACTGACGAAAGATATGGCGTGTCACGCAACCTCACACCTAACGTTTGGTGAACGTTTGATTCTGATTTTGGCATCAAATTGTGCACTTTTTGCAAAGATTGCTTATTTGCGGGTCCCAGTATCTGTGGCGCATACACGGTAAGCAGGAAGAACGCATAGAGACATGCAGCCGCATGCATTAGGGTGCACAGGATCTATGCGTTGTACATATGCGCAGATGCGCTTAACTCTTTGCTGCAGCCTTGATCCATGGCAATCTTGGCCAACATCGCGACGCGGACTTTGGAGTTTCGAAGTAGCGCAAATCGTTCGAATGTTAGGGGAAGACGCTACATCGATTTTGGTACGCTGAGCGCCAATTTGGCGCGGGAGGGAGGCTGGTGGCCTAAGAGATTATGTAGTTGCCACAAAATCATCGACGCAAGGTGGAAAGATACACCAAAGCGCCGCTGATCAGCTGCTAAAAACTCATGACTTGTTCTACCCTCCCCTCCAAGTGTACAATCTTCGAGAAAACCCATAGTATATATCAACTTACAGCCATTGAGGCTGCTCACCTCGCCCATAATAGCATTTAAACTCCTATATCTCAGCGCACTAGAATCAGTACTATTATGAAGACTTTTCTTTTCAATGACACCTGTAACTTGTATACCGCTGTTAGATAATGTTGCTGAGCCATACTGGTATGAAAGAAGGATTTAAGATAGAAGAGAAAGCAAGGGGCGGGGGGGCGAGAAGGCTGGTGGGACGGGTCGAGTTTAACGTCAAATCGACGCTGAGCGTGCCAAAATCGACATAGCATCGTCCCTAGGCAACGATTGCAGTTTGTTTTGCAACAGAAGGCAGTGCAAATGACGCTTAGTCGGTGCCATCATACTTAAAATCGCATACTCACACCGATTTGCCGTTTTCTCACATTTAGATTTGAAAATGCTGAACTTTTTTGAATTTCTTGCATTTCTGATTTCAAAAAATTCATAGCAGCATCTGTTTCGACATTTCAGATTCGTTTCCTTCTGGAAGAAGGGATCGCTAACCAGCAAGAGGTCAACCTCTTCTTGAACGGATCAACGGAGTCTCGGTATTTGCAATTGCAAAAGCTAGGGTCATTAGAAAATCCGCCGCGAGAGAGTTGTCAGCAGGAACAATGCGTCCGGGACGGCAGTGAGTATCGAGTCCAAGGTTGCGAGCGCAGAAGCGAGTTGGAGTCTTTGGAAAATGCAAAACATCTGGCACGTGCGGGGAACGAAGCTGGAGCAGCGGGTGGCATTGGTATCGTTTCTGAAATGGATACAGCGGCCATGCACCTGGAATATTGTAGGGTTCCAGAATCCAAGAGAGGAAGGAGGAAGCCCACTTGGCTGCCGGAAAAGGTGCGATTCGTAATTGGAACTGGATTGACTTGCCTATTGCAAGTTGAAGGAATTCGCAGCTTTCCTAGATGAACTCAATGAGTCAATTTTATCCAAATTTACCCTTTATTTCATTTTAATATAATTTGCATCTTGTTTGCATTAGCTGTCGCCGTGCGGCACAACATGCAAAGCCTTATCGAAAGTGTCTATGTCGGACTCCGGGCCCTCAATTCCCCTCGTTTTGCGTGCCCTTCATACCGATATGTTTCAGACCATTTTCCAAAACTCGTGGAGCACCTTGTTGCAGTTGATGAATAGCCACATCAAGGCCATTCAAATAATGTAAATATCACAACAATCACACCCTATGTGGAACGTGTTAGCCATTCCTTTTGCTCCTCTGTTTGCTGTTAGTGGTGTCTCCCAAAAATCTTCAATCATCGCTCATAGTGGACGCAAGCTAACCCTCTTTTATGGCTGACGTCAGCATGCACTGCGTACTGGACCTGGGCGAGTTTGCGAATTTGATGTTGCAGTATCGATCGAGGCGCCTAGTGAATTTTCAGCCACAATATATGCGATATTACTCTTATCAACACAAATTATATTTTGAAACTTGTCACTTTCAACCGGTCACTGTTTTTTCGCGCATGGATTCTGTCGGAATCGACCCGCATCTTCAGTGCACCCAAGCCACCAGGGCGTGACCCTCTACTAGCGCCAGCTCAGATCTTCCGCATGTATCAAAGCGCATGACAAGATCGCCACGCCCCACCCAATGCCAAAAGGCAAATACCTTGTTTCCGCTGTTCTTGAGATATCGCAAGTACGTTGGTACCGTTTGCTACCTTTGAAGTCGTCATGGGTAGCTTTCATAGCGGCTTTTAGGAGTTGCTTTGGTCGAAGTTCCTATCTTCCACATAGTGTGCTCTGCTTGCAAGAACTGGAGGCTTGACAAAGGTTTTGCAACAGAAGTGCATTTCGCATGAAGCCCCAAATCGTGGCATCCCTTAATAACATGTAAGACGTGTATGATATTTGCATGAAAAATCTTGCCAAATTGTGAGAACGTGCAGCGCTCAACACAACTGGAAGGGCAGGAACGCCGCCTAACAATTTGTGCGTTTTTTCTCAAGAGCTGGAAGATGATTGAAGAAATCGAGTTGCTTCCCCAATTTAAAGGCATGAATTTCAAGGAAAAAATCAGCAACAACCCGTCTGCAAAAAGAACAAGCGCTTTTGAATCTGGAGACTGGGACCAACCAATTGCTCCAGAATCAGGCGATCTGGAGCTGTCACCGTGGCACAATTTGCTGCTGACTCGATGGCTTAGTCCCGGAAGGACGGCGAGTGCGGCGAGGCGCGCAGTCAGTCACTATTTGGGAGCGAGCTGTGGGTCTCCTTACCATTTCAGCTTGGAAGAATCGTACGAGGTGACATGCCCAATTGTTCGGACAGTTTTCTGATCAGTATGGTATTCAATTATGTGAATTTTCTATGATAGCATTTACTTTGGAATCGCTAAGAATCTCCCCCATTCTCACATCTGTGTTGCATCCGTTGAATGCTCTGATCATATTTTTTGTGAATCATACATCACTGTGAGTAAAGCCACGGACAAAAATCATACTATCTCCGTCTCAAGAGTATTTCCCACATTTATTTTGTTACAATAACTTTAAAGATCAATTCCAATGGTTAATCTGACGCCAGATTCAGGTTCCTTGGTCGATTTCCGATGAATGTGGATCCTCATTACATGCAATCAACACCATAAATCAAGGAATCCAGAGCATTTTGAAAAGCGTCCCTCTCCACCATTGCACACTCCCTGAGCACCCCATGTTGTTGGGTTTGCCTAATCCACGTAAGTCCATCGTGTACCCATTTCCTCCAAACTCCTTAAGCGCTTTATTGTACACGACCAACAGGCACTACCACACCCGCTCCAGGACTTTTGCATCATACTGCTTATATGCTCCCCCAACAACTCTTACCATCCCATCCACACTGCTGAATCGTGTCTCAAGAACCCTTGTTTTCAATGATCTAAAGAACTCAAGGTCGTTGATGTTCAAATCAGGAGATTGCGCTGACTAGGTAACCAGGTCAATCAACCAGCCCTCCATATGCCCAGCTTCCAGAAGGGTTTCCAAGTTTCCCTTTCCTGCGTGGGGGCTAGCCCCATTCTGTTGAGCCAACACCTGCCTGTTTTGCATCCATGGGATCTTTGCCTTGATTGCCAGTAAGAGCTTCTCAACATGCCACTTGGGATACCAAGCGAAGTCTGTGGTGTTGTCCACTTGGTATATGACCCCCTTTTGGTGGTGCCTACTGCATTTTATGCCACCTTACCTTTGGACACAGGCCAGATTCCAATCTTCCCATCGAGTTGATGGGCCGGATCCGGCCTAGCGTTTGCCACAATGAACATTGCTTTTGGAATGTGGCTCTTGTGTTGGACTGTGACAACGCGATGCACTACTTCTTCGGGGAAATAACATGGTCGCCGTCCGCCATCAAACAAAACCAAGTTTCATCCACATGCATTGAGTTCAACGCAGAATCGTACACCATCCTTCTCTCATTGACCTTGTTCACTACAAGCACCAATCTGACCCACATCTGCTCAGGATTAAACGATGGTTTGATCCACCGCCGTTTGCACACAGCCGCCGTTGTTTTCAGCCACCTACAAACCGAATCTTTGCTTACCTCAACGCCAAAATTCTCAAATTTGCGAGTAATCTGCCTCACTGTCCCAGGTGATTCCCCTTGCTCGCCTCTACCAACTCTGATTCTTGGTCAATGCAAGGAGACAAGGCAGTACTGACCTTGGCTCGTCTCCAAGATCGATTCTATTGCGCCGATCCAGCTGTTCCATCAATCTAAGCCACCACCTCTTCACGGCCTTTGTTGAAACTCCGAATTGGTCTGCGATCTCTGGCGCCTTTCCATGCAGAATGTGATCGCTAGAAGCTTCCATTGTAAGCCCGCACCTGAGGATCAAAGCATGGCGCTCCCCCAGCTGCAGCTCAGCCGATTCTGCCCTTCTTGACGGGCGAGACGAGCTCGTGATGGCAGCGCCAAACTGCTTGCAACCTTCAAAGCCCCGCCTCGGCGTGCAAGGGCATAACTCGAAAACCACTGGGCCGTTTGTGACGTCCAAGGTCGCCATGTATAGCTCTCGGCAAGCACGTCAGAGATGTTTCAGTCAATTTTTTAGACTCGCACGTTTTGACGTTCGCTTTTGTAAAAACGAGTTCGGACAATACTTTCGAGACAGAGGTAGTATAATGAAGCAAAGAAAGTTGGGTACTC